CTAGCAAAATTGAAGGAGTGTCAAATGGTCAAGGATGTACTTTTTGTTTAGCTAATGAAATTGAAATATTAATCAAATTATGAGAAGTAAAATTCTAATGAATTCGTAGTGTAAATGACTTGCATGTAACAAGATATGACAAAACGGGAAGAAAATGATCTAATTTTGATATACAAAAATTGTTCCGAGGATATCACCAACTGCAAGGTCAAAATTTGGCTTTTGGCATTAAATTTCATTTATTTTTTGTAATTTTTCGGAAGAGGATAAATAGTGACTTTTGGCACAATCCTTAACAATAAAGCAAAGTGGAAACCAAGATACAGTTTTGGACGCAATTTAACCGCTGAAATGTCCCCATCATTACCACGAAATTCAAATGTTATTGCCTGACATGATCAAAGAAAGTGAACGATGTAATTCTTCTTCAGCTTTTTCCAATTAAAGTCTTCGTTTGATAATGTGAACGTCCTTGTCATCATTATCCATGACCATGTGTTGGATGGATTGATGACATCGATTTCGGGGCTGAGTTTGAGTTCATACAAGAAACAATCGTATCTCCATTTATAATTTCAGTATATTACCATGCCACCAGGTCAATTCTGAGGTCGAAATATTGGTAATTGATGTAATCTTGATTTGATTTGCAAGGAGGTTTTCTTCCAAGCAATCCATATTTTCTTTTATCTTCTCTTTACTCATTCCTCTCCTGCTCACCAAGCCTCCCTTTAGATTAATCAAGAATAGGCAACTTTAATGATGGTTTTTTTTTTTTTTGACGAAGGATATACAAGATCGATATCTATATGGAACTAAATGACAGTAATAATTAGTGCATAAATATTATGTTGTCTGTTTCCAACGAGTATACAGTGCATGGATAGTCTTTTTTTAATTATTTTTTTATGAACTTTTTTGCCAACACGGACAAACACTCACACACTACGAATTTAATTATGGTCTACGCATATGTGCTTTTCTTTTTGGGTAAAACTAACGGGCGCCCAAGAAGCATCCGTTAAAGAGAGTTTAATACAGTTTTTAATTATTGATATCTTGGAAAACAGAGTATGCTAATTTGTTATCTTTTTTTTCAGGATTAAAAATATATATATATTAAATTGGATATCTAAAAATTAAATTATGAAACTAATTATTATCATGATTATAAAAGACCCAATGGCAACCTCTATATTTTTTAAAAAAATTTAATTATTTCTTCATACCTTTAAATTGTGATTTTTTTTTTCAAATGATGCACCGATTATTTAATTTCTTTTTTTAAAAAAATATTTTAAAGATGACAGTTGATCAAATTCAATGCTTAGCTGAGAGAAAAGGTTTGATAATATGTTAATAAGGGTATACTGGACAGTAGAAAAAAATTAATTGCACCTAGTTTAGTTAAAACTAGTCGGCTTCTTGGCTATGCAACACGAGAAAACAAAATATATTTATTTCAATTTGATAACCTATATTATTACGTTAGTTAAATAAAATATATAACATTAATGATAAAATAAAAGTTTTCATCTAATTTTATAATTTTTAATCAAAATTTTATATTTAATTTATTCTTCTTTATGTTTATTATAAAATTTATGGTTAAAAAAATGCAACACTTATTATTTAAAATTAATCTCTTTAATTTGACCTTTTTTTTATAGAAATTCTCATCAGATAATTTTTTATTTTCCTTTTTTATGTAATTTTATTTTTTAATAAATATGATTTTATTTTTTCCATGTACAGCTTTTTGAATAAGTTTTTTTAAATAAATAATTAATTAAAAATTAGAATTTATTTGTTTTATTTGCTTATTTTTATTTAATCAAAATAATATCGAAATCAATTTTGTATTTGTTTTCTTACAGTCTACTAACTTCAATATATTTCTTACAATTTAAGCTTTTTTAAAATATTTTTAATTTATGTTACATACTCTAACCTATTAACTATAGTCATGATATATATAAAAAAAAATTGAGAACATTGATTTTATTAAAAAATAACTTTGCATCTACACAAATAACACAAATCATTTACTATTAATTTTTTAAATATTTTAAAATTAAGTTCATAATGTTTAATCAAATTATTGTATGTAATTTATTCTTTTTCATTCCTTTTATAAATTTTATAGATAAAAAAATACAATTTGTTCTTCCTTACGCAATCATTTTTAAATAAAAATATGTAATAGTCTAAATAAAAAATTAATATAAAATTTTAAAAAAAACATCTTAATATTTTTTTTCATGAGATTGCATTGAAGAAACAAAAAAAAATAATATAAAAACTTGTACAAAAATTATGTTGGTGAGAAGATTAACTTTTTGAAAATATGTATATTTAATTTATATAGATATTTATTTAAAAATAATCAATAATATTAGCCTAAAAATTTTGTATTTGAATTGTTTGGTGGTTCTTCTAAAATATTATTTTAAATATTTTTATTTAAAAGAAATTAATTTTAGAATTTTAAAAAAATAATACCAAATAGTCGGTGTTGTATGTGTAGATGTATAGTTAATTTTTAATAAAATCAATTATCTTAATTTTTTTATGTACATCATGACTATACTTGGATCAAAGTTTTAACATAAATAAAAAAAATACTTAAATTATAAGGATCTATTAAGTTAATAGATTGCAATAAAAACAAATATAAAATTAATTTCGATAAATTTTGATTATATAAAGAATAAACAAATAAACACATGAATTTTATTTTGTAATTGATCATTTATTTATAAAAGCTAATTCAAAAATTTATACATAGAAAAAATAAATTATATTTATTAACAAATAAAATTACATAAAAAAGAAAAAAAAATTAATTTGATGAGAATTTTCTTAGCAAATTGAAGAGATCAATTTTAAATAGTAAGAGTGTATGTGTGTGTAATTGCCAACGTTTATGAAAAATAAAAAAAAATTAAAATTAATTTTTCATAATATTCGAACCCAATTCAATAATAAAATAAATTGTTGAAAAAAAAAAAAGACAAGCATGAGTGCTTGGTCATCTAGAAACAAAAAAATATATTTTAAAAATATCAAGAACTAAAATGAAACTCAAAGTAAAATTGGCATATTAATGTCTAATAAAAAACTAAAAAATAACAAAAGTGTTATTGCATAATAAAAATAAATATTACACATGAGTTCGTATGAATAATGTACACAAGTCTAAGTGAATAATGCAGTAAATAGGGTTGAATTCATAGTTTTAATGCTCCTTTAACAATAGCATAAACCTTTCTGTGTTTTTTTTTTCCTTCGTCACGTGTTTCTTTCTCGAACGCACCAAAATGAACGCATTTGTTTGATCAGTCGTCTTGAAATACAATTTTAACACGAACAGGGGCTCCACAAGACTTAATGTGTAGAAAGAAGAAAAAGGCGTACACAGCCATCATAGAAACTTAATCCCTTCCCATTGGGGCAAAAAGCAAAAAGGTTAGATCCACGGAAAAGAACTGGACATTCCACTACAAGGGGAAAAATATTCCCTCGTCAAAGAAAAGTTGCGCAAACATGAAGCAAACCACAAGACATGCCGAGAAAACAATGTCCTTTCAATTAGGAGGAAAGCCATGGCCAAAACTACCCACAATGGTCATACCGAGGGGCCAAGCCACAAGTTTGCTACCGATGAATTGATTTTAGACAGGAAAGGTACAAAAACAACACAAACAAGGACACATCCACCTTAATTCTACAGTAATTTTCATAAAGATTGCGGTTATCTTGGTCATTCTGCAAGAACATGTAAAATGTCGACAAACCATGAGAATGTAAGCAAGAAAAATTACTACAAATTACCCGTTGAAAGTTGACGTTACTACATTGTTCTGCTAACAGATATTCCATGACTCAGGTAGTGCAAAAGCCACCTGGCACCATTTCAAAGATCAAAGAAAAATCTCCGCCGACAAGTACTGTATTTATACGTGAAATATATATTGTTATCAGTCAAAAGGTAATCATGCTGCTAGATATCATGGAGAAAAAAATTGAACTTCCTACCACCCTTATCCCACAGGGGACCAAAACTTTCCACATTTCAATAAAACACCAACTTATGACTAGCAACTCAAGTCTACAAACTACTCAAGTGTCATATAATCCATTCAGGCAGAATTGTGGATTTAGAAATCCGATGGCTAATATCAGTCATTCCGAATCAGGACAAAATGGAAAACCAGAGAAAGTTGCCAATAAAACGACAGTGATTTAATCTATAACAGTAGTATAAACTTAAATGTGAATTCAAAAGGGAAAAAAAATTGAGAAAAACCAAGACACCTGTAATTTTGTAAGCAAAGTAGCAAAACATTTTATAATCTGATTCCCAAAATTCTAACTAAAAAGAAAATTCTGCTACTCTTCTCCCCAAAGCGGAAAGGATTTAAGAGGCACTCAATTGGAATGAATGAAAATGAAATAAATAACAAAACACAAAATAACCCCAAACAAAATTTCTTTTCATTTTTTTTTTTTTCCTGCAAAATATGGCCCTTCAAAAACTCTAGCCATTTCTTTTAAATACCTAGACAGCTAACTTTTGATTACATACATCCACCCAAAAAATTAAGCTGCTCGTCCAAACCAGCTTATTCGCGATAAAGAAACTGTTGCCGGAAATATACAACTGCAATGAAGTGAGATCAAATCAGTTACTCCACAAAAATCAATTTCAGAAAGCAATTATCAATTTACATTGGACCAACATAAAAAGGAGTTCAGTTCATACAATACCTCATTGTCCATACAATAAACTTGACATTCTATTTACATGAAGAACCTGCATGTTCACTTACTTGTGTAAGAGCAACGCATACATATTCTCAACAAGATAATAAGCAGCTGATAGCCAAGTCTTACACACCTTGGTGTACAGGAAATGGATTGTTGCGGAAAATATATATCACAGAACAATTAGGCTAAACAATGATTTTCATTTTCCATAAAAATCATGCTAATTCTTGTTATCTGAAAACAAGGTTTCCATTCTGTTGCAGTCGTAAATTCTCCATCAGTGACTGGTAGAATGATCTCAATGCCTTCATATCATTACCCTGCACATACAAAAATCAGAAGCGCAAAGCAAAATTGGAGCAATTAAACAAGATTTGATCATTTCTAAACCTATTTAGACACAGCTTTACTGACACACATCAGTTTCTGGTGATACATACTAGCTGCCTTCAACTTGGAAGCCTTAGCCATTGAAATATAAAGCAAAGATATTCAACACCAAATGCTTTCTTCAAACAAACATTTCCAGGAACCTCAAACTTTCAGTGCATGTGAAAAAGATTTTCCTAACAAATTAATCCTGAAATTTCAGTTAAAAAATCTATCAAAGAGCTTAAATAACCAACCTCGGTCCTTTCTCAATCATACATGCCTGACACTACGCTTGGATAAGAAGGTTTTGAGATTAACGGAAAGGACAAAACAATATCAAACCCTTCGAGCATTGTCAAGAAGGAGCTTTATTTCAAGGGAGAAGAAAGGGATTTGGAGGATTTGCCATAGCCCCCAATTCGCTCAAATGCTACAAACAAACCCAAAATTTGAGCGTTAAAGGAAGGGGATTGAGTTTATAATCTTTGACTTGTGTTTCCAGCATTACACTTCAATCCTCTCCAACCTCCAGGGATAAAAGATACAAATATATAATTGAACAACCCTTTCAGTTTTCAACGAAACAAAAAAAAGTTAGAAGGCGTTTCCAACTTACTTCCATATATCCAAGCCCCTTCTTCCATCAAAATACACAAAAATTGCACTTGAAAAAAACCTTTAATTCCAAGATCATGGGTCTAACTATGTCCATAATGCATCAAAAACCAAACATCTACACTAATCTGTATCCTGTAGCCAGGGTTAAACTAAGTCCCAGATCCAATTACAGAATTGACAAAAGTCAGGGTGGAAATTCTGCACAGGCATTTAGCACCAGAGAAGGGCTCACCACTGCATGCATAATGACATCAAAATTTTATAATGCGTTGGAAGATTTCGTTCTACTAAAATTATCATGTCACTAGAAAATTCAGAGAACAACCCCCAAGTGGACCAAAAGTTTAATCAAATTTATGAAATATATCCCAAAAAGAATATAATATTCCCTAGACAACAGCTAAAATAAAAAATACTTTGAAAAAACCAAAAAAAAAAAAAAAAAGTCATGTAACAATAAAATTGGGGCAGATCCCACCATATATGTGGATGGACAAAATGCACTTCCACACAAATCCAACAACTCAGTAAGATATTGAGCACTATTTTGTTACCTGCAACTTCTGGCAATATTGTGCAGCTAAATCTCGAGGGCAATAAGTAAAGCATTTTGTTACAAAATGAGCAAGAAAATCATCACCAAACTTCTCATACATAACCTTCTGAGCGAGTACAATTTCTCCAAACAGAATGAGCTGCCAGACAGAATCAGAACAGCAATTTCAAAAACATTTATCAAAAACCAGGCAAGAAATTATTCAGCAGGCAATATCAAACACTTAATATAAAACTAAAATGAATGGGATGTGGATGATGATCAGTAACCTGCACTGAATAAGTATGAGATGTAAATGGGAATAAAAGACTGACAAAGTGCATCTTTCAAGGCCATATCTTTGTGTTTTGAAGGAACAGCAATGATATCAAAATCTATCGCACAGTGCTTACAGTATTTGCATCATGGAACTCAAAGGATTTGTCAAGCGCGCTGTCAAAACAACAATTCGTTGCAAAGCCGTCGATTATAAACCTTTGGAAACCGGGTACCTACATATTCAATTCCATTAGAGTGAAGAAAAGAAAATCCTTGACATAAAAGCCACTAGGAATGAGATCTTAGAGGAAGACAAACCTTTTCTTCACCATAAGGTCTTGTACACCAGTCTTTAATTAATCTAATGAATATCTGAACGCATGCCTGAATTACAAAGGGATAAAATTGACACCTTAAGTTTACAACAATGCTAATATATCAGAAGATTCAAAACTTTAGTTGACCAAATAAAGGATGTATCAGATGCACCTTTCTCATAAGAATATCCTTGTGATTACAAGCTGAGTGCAGTAGCAACTGCATCATTTTATCCAAGTAGCCCCTACTCTTGGGTGAAAGGAAGACTGAAGATAGATCGTGTGTAGTTATCACATGAAGAAACGTGTAAAATGTTTTCTGGAGTTCTTGTAATTCACGAATTTCCTGCAAAATAAGCCAAGTGGTCCTTTTCAAGATAGTTCGAAGTATCACCTTTTGATAACGAATGTTGACTAAGGTACTATAAATGAAAAACTCCTTTCAGTCTCATTTGCAATAGTATGTCAATCAAGATTGACCATGCTTTCACGTCGATGAAAAAAAATTTTGCTGGCAGCTATTATGATGCTTAAGAGGAGATGCGTGAGAGAAGAACCGACTTTAGAATTATATCAAACAATTTGATGCAAACAAATGTAAAAGTAATATGGCGTGGCACGGTAATATCACAAAAAATGTATACTCTTGCAACAGTCAGGAATATACCATCCACGCACACATATCACATTTGAACTTTAAGCACCAAAACTTTTAGTAGTGTCTGGAAAAATAATGTAATGAAGCTAAAAATACATTCATCATCTGGTTAAAAGAGAGACTCTTGGAAGTGTATGTTAACTACACCCTAGTAATTAATAAATATACATAGTAATTCCATACCTCAGAATTGGTTCCATGTCCTGAAGGCAGTACTTCAGTTGGGATTATACTAAATATTCTACCAGCAATAGCTGGAAAAACTTCCTCCACTATGTCATGCACTGCGGTGTTGAATTTGCATATAAGCTGATTGAGCAGAACAAGAAAACCAACCATTTCCTTTGGCTACAATAAAACATAATCTAGAATCAGGCATTCAAGTCGCATGAAAAAATGTAAAAAACTTCAATGCAATGAACATTTTCATTTGATTTAAATGGTTCCAAAAGATGTCCATGTCGAGTTGCTTAAAATTTTCCCCCATCACTTTGGGAGAAACAGTCACTTTTTCTGATGTTATCATAAAGAAGTTGAATCTGAGTAAACTTTAACCATTTAATGCCATCCACTATAAGTTAACTGATGGGATCATTTTCTTGTGTTACACTGCCATATTCATGCAAGCTGAACTTGGGAGTAAATTAAAAGCTTCACTACTGCTACAGAGCATAAATTTTCCCAAAATGCAGTAGCTCATGATGCAGGAAACGAACAGATTAGTTTTATGCATTTTTATTTATTCCATAATTCAGGAATATCTTGTAATTTCGGATCAGGGGTATTTCAGTAATTTTGTATTTCTTGGAAATTTATATGTCAATTTTTTTCAGTTTTAGTAATTTTTAAATATTTAAGTCTCCTTGTTTAGGTTCCTTTTTCCCAGATGCGTGACTGAAAAAAAAATAAAGAAAACCCTTTATCTGGCAGTCTTCTATACGTTCTCTTATTTAGGAACCCAAGTCCTTATTGCACTAAGAAATTTTCAGATACTTCCGGTGTAGTACTTCCCCACTCACATGAGTAAATTATAAATTAGTCCCTCTATTTTTGAGAATTAATTACTCCCCTTTGTTTGAAAACCTGATTATTTCGTCTGATGACTAGTGATGAACACACTTAAATTAATACTACTTTATTTTATAAAGTGTCATCGTTTCTCATCAATCCTTCCATATTTTTTACTTTTTTTCTATTTCTTAAAACAAAAAATCCAGATAAATTGAAAAGGGGCGAAAAAGATTAAGTTACAAGAAAATTTTAAAATATAGAGATTAAATAATTAATTTTTGAAACAAGAGGGACTAATTAATTTGTTTTTCAAAACTAAAGGGACTAATTTATAATTTACTCTGACTCACATGACAGTAGGATCCGCCATGAAAGCTACCCATTGGTCTCATTTTTATGTGAGTGGGAGAGCAGTGCACCAAGAGTATCTTATAACTCTGGCAGTGGGAACACTAACCTTCTCTCTCTATATATATAGCAATATAGTCTTTCAGTAAGTGCAATTGCAATATTTCTAGCAATTATGCTTTTAGTTTTACACACTCATTCCAACTTAATTTCCAAACCCGAATCCCTTTCTTCTTTAATCTAGACACTTAATTCCCAGAATGTTCAAACCTTGTACAACAAAAACTCAAAGCTGTCCTGCAGCAGCTCATACCTGATATTATTATATGAGATCGTCATTGTTCTACTAATTCAACAAAACAAGGCCAAATTGTATCTAAGTGGGTCAAATATCTTAACATATGGCAATTCCGCTTGTCAATTGGTAAAAAAATTATAGGGATTTTCCATGCTTAAATAATTTTGCAGACAATTCTAAGGCATGACCATAACATAACTGCATGTAAAAACCCCACCAAAACACAAACTTGATGTGGGCTGGCAATCAGATGCATTCATTGCTCCTGCCCCAGGACATCACCCATAGACCAAATAAGAGAGGCAGAGAATAAAAAATCAAATTCCATTATCATCCCAAAGAGTACTCAGGATTACTTACAACTATGAAGATATTAATAAAGGTAATCAACAAAGCACAACACAAAAAAAAAAAAAAAAAAAAAGTTTATCAATATTAGATGTAAGAGTGGAATTTATAGACTGGTAAAATGGGAATTGTTTTCTTCTTACCTCACTTTCTGCAAGCAATTGTCCCAATGCCTTTGGAAGGTAAGGAAATACAGATGCTCCTAAAGTATCTACCATACGATGAATGAAGGATGTAACCTGAATACAATCAATGCTAGCTTTAGGCAATATGTAAAGCCAACAAAATATCAAAAAACAGAAAAAAGCACTTCCATGGCTCCATATCCCATTCTTACCTTATTTCGTAAAGACTCTATCTTTGGAAATACAACAAGTATTTGGAGGAGAACATCCAATGTCTGGATCACAAAAAGAGAAAATAAAACTTCAACAAAAAGAAGAGATGCAATGACAGAATTTCTGTTCTAGCATTTCTACAGTTGCATCTAGCAGATCCTAGCATCTATCAATAGGCAATGTAACAATTCATTCTCATTTTCTCACCATAAATTAGGAATTCAAAGAACAAAGGAATAAAACATGATGGATTGTAGAGCAGCAAACTGGCATACCATCAGTATAGGACGTAAATGAATAAATATGCAAACAGTCCACACTGAGACATGGAGAGAATATTGAATCAACACGGCTATAAGCAAGATATCATGTGTGACTCAAAGGTTCTTAATCATAAAGATGATGAAGACAATTATATAATATTGTAGAGCTCATGAACTTGTTGGATTTTGCAAAAGGTGACCCACCCAGAGACAGCATGTGATGCAAGAAACAAAAACAAAAACAAAAGATCTGAAATGCCAACCTTCTTAAACATGACTCCTATTGCAGGGCGACTTGCGGTTACCAGGCGCTCACTAAAACCCTGGGTCAGAAAAGGAATTTAAGTGAGACATTGCATGTCTTTGAAGTTAAGACTCCAATGAAGAATCAAAAACTGCTGTAAAGAAGCCAGAAACATGCTAATTTTGTATCCAAGCACAATGATGAAAAATATAATCAAGAAAGCGAGAAAACCTAATTTGCAAAAAAATCAAGTGATTAAAAGCTGTCAATTAATTACAAGTCCACCCCATCATCAACAACAAAGTAAAATAGAAAGAAAAACATATTATATTGAAGAGGAACGAGCATGAAGTCGAATTCAGAAAGCCAAATGAAAAAAAGGAACCTTGCTGAGTGCATTAATTGCCATGATTACTTGCTGAATGTTAGCAATTTTCACTGGAGATTCTTCTGGATTCAGTACATTGGCATTAATGAGTAATATCTCCACCTGGATCAAACAAGAATACTTCAGAAGCATGTATAAGAATATCAGCGTAAACACCATCAAGCATGGGTGCATGCTCGAGTAAGCTATTCCGAAGCCATTCCAACAACAAATTTAAACGCATAGAAGTAAATTCACTTCAAAAAAAAATGAGCAGGGAAAAGGAATGGTAAAATAAAAATTTTAGGTAACTTCAAATCTAACCGTAACCTGATGACAAAGAGGAGTGAGCAGTGAAGATAGATAATCAGATTGCTTTTCCGATGGTACATCCTCCATCCCAATTAATAGACCAATTGCCTGTGAATAGTCACGACAAGTATCATAAGAAACCTAAGAACCATCACAAATATCAATTTACCTGTATGCCAATGTATGATGCATGTCTCCATGTGTCTGTGTATTCAAAAACAAAAGTTTAAAAACTTAAGAAGACAACACAAAGCATAATTGGAGTACCTCAAAGATGTGGCTACCATCTTCGGATCCTGAAAACTCATTTGATGTATGATTCATGGTTGTAAACCGAGCTACTGTATCTTGGAGGCTCTGTCAATTCAAAGAACATCCAGATATCAAGATCAAATAGTACATATGAGAAGAAACTTTATAGACAATTGATTACTATAAAACAAGAAGGTGGTTTGCTTACTACCTGCAAAATTGACTCTATGAAAGGCACAAGCTTTGCTTTCAGCAATTTCACAACCCTCATGAACAGATAACTAGCCCTACGACTCACATGGAAGTTAGGGTGGTGTATTCCTCTCTCATCCAGAAATGCAGCCAAGACCATGGGGACATAATGGGTATTCTCTTGAACAAACTTAATATATCTAGTTATAGTCTCCAAATACACAAGTGCAACTAACCTATTTGAATGGCACGGAAACCTTGTCGAGAGGAGGTTTGGCACCAATTCACTCAACAGTCCACTTCCAGTTTTTATGGCCTCATCACTTAATGACTCTCCAAGTGCATACAAAAGAGAAAGAGAAGCTTCTACCTCTTCAACATTTCTCTCTGACACAGATGAGATAGAACTGGCTAAAGAATTTCCAATAAATATTTGAGTGACATCTGGGGCCACGCGACCCACACTACGTAACAGCACAAATAAGTCCTTTCTAAATTCCACCATCCTTTCTTCCTCCTCTCTCCCAATCTTATCCAGCATATCAAGATTGTCACGGTAAATAGGATCATAACGAATTTGCACACAAATCACTTCCAATATCTGCCTCACATGATGCAGTTGTTTCTCCCTCAATGGAGAAAGGCTCTTCATAGTGGCAACATAACACGAAAGAAATTGCACAGTACTAAATGAGGTGTCCACCTCGCAGTTCCGCATTACGAAAAAAACTGATGGCAAAACTTCATTCAAAAGCTCCAGAGAAACACCCTTAGCATCTTCTGTATTCACTCGTTTATAGCACTCCAGAACCTCAACAGCATACCCGGTAATCAATGCAGCTACTTTTGACACCAACTCCGAGTCACTATCTCCAGTTACCAACCCAAAAACCCTATTTATCTGAAGACTCTGCAATATTGATAACTTCGATTGGTGATCCATCCGCTTGGAAACCACAGCCAAAAGACACCCAGCACCAGCACCTTGAAGCTGCTCAGATCCCCCATCAACTAAAACCAGCTGAAATAATAACGGAATAAATAGATCATTCACAATCAACCCAATATCAATCCACGAAATATACCTCCTCATCGAATCTAACACACTAGAACAAAGGTCTGGATCAGAATTCCGATACATAGATACAATGTCATACCAAACTTTGACTATCTGCGCTATGCATTGCTGCCTCATAGCATCCTTAACCCGCCCTGCAACCCCCATCTCCTCAGGTGTCCGTGGGTAATCTAGACTAATCAATTCATCATCCAAAGCATTCAAAATCCTACAGAACATATCAATGACCACCGCCCCTTTTCTCAAATGAGGCAAAAAATCAACGAACACCGAAGACCAAATTAAAGGGTACTCAAAATAAACCAAAGTAACAAAAACCTGAGCAAGTTTATTCTTTATAAATGCAGGACCGCCCTCTAAAATCCTTACAGCATTATTATTCTGATCATCAATAGCCTCAAAACAACACATAGAAAACACAGATTTCCTAATGAAGTCCTTCTCTTCTAAACCCAACAAAGCATATTTAACCCTAATAACCTCATGTAAAGTCTGTAAACACCAAAACTGAACCTGAACAAGCCGGCAAAAACACAACTTCTCAATGCAAAGACGGCATAGAGTTGGGGTTTCCTTAATTTGCTGACAGAAAGAGACTGCTTGTGATTTTAGAGCTGAATCTATAGCGCCCGATTCATCAAAACTTATAAGTATTGCTTTTTCAACGTCATCCATTGATTAAGACCAATTTAAGACTCAAAACCAATAGAATTTGATTGCCTTTTTAGGGTTTTGAGAAATCTAAAGAGCACGGTACCAAAGTTTGAGTCTTTTTCGTTAAGGGGTTGTCAGAAGAAGCTTACCGGATGGTGATTTCCGAGATCTTTTATAATTATGCGTGTCAGTGTTGGGGGTTTGGGTTAGGGTTTTTGTAGGTTGAAGAGGAGAAAACCCTAGGCCGTGTTTGTATTTGATATTAATTTATGGTTTGGCAAGCTTCAGAGCAAGAGAAGAGCATTGTGCGGAAACAAAGAAAAAAAAATTAAGGGTATAAATAGGTGTTATGAGCAAGAAGAAGATAGCAGTTTGTGATGTTCCAAATTACTACAATGTCCTTGTGGTAATAAAAATGGAAAAAAATAAAAATCGAAGTTCGGGTTGAGACTTGAGAGTAATTTATGGTTTAGTAAAAAAAAATGTAAAATTGATAAACTTCACAATAGTTTTAGATCGAAAAGGTATTAAATTGTTGTGTTTTGCATTAAAAAAATGCTTCGCAAGAGCACTTGCAGTCAAAATGCCAAGCATATCTTATGTGTGAAAATATATTTTTTTTCAATAATGAACATGGTGATCTACTATTATATCTATTGAGATCTTTTAATTAAAATTTTGTTATTTTTCTAATAATTACGAATTTGTTGCTTCTGAATAGATTGAGCTTTAGTTTACATTCTAAAATAATCAAATTGACAAAGAAATTTTTGTAATGATGTGATTTTTATCATAGAAGTGTTTTTTATTTACTTATTTATTTAGAATCGCAAAAATTAATGTCAAATGTATTGATATTAAGCAACCAAGATAACGATTGGGTGTCATAATTTTATTAATAAAATGGCAAAACCATGCATGGCAATGATTTAATAGCTGCTTTACTTGCACCATTAAAATTGAGAATAAAAACAGTGCAACCATAAATGACTCGAAATTATTATTCCAATATTCCTTCACGTTTGAATTTATTTGATATCGATTTTTTATTTGTTCTTGTTATTTTTTGTCAAGGGACCATTGTCGATGACCCAATTTCTTATTTACATTTCAAAAAATAAAATTTTCTTTTTTTTCACATGCTTGACACATGAATTAATTAAACTATATGAAAATGTCAAGGGACCATTTTCTTTAATGAATTGAATGCAAGATCCAAGAGAAACACAACACACACACACATATGACTGATATCCTTAATTGAATGAATTTATTTTTATAAAATGAGTAATTTTCAATTATCCTTATAGTAACTTTCTCCATCCAAATTAACTAAATCAATCAAGCATATGATTTACTATTGCACTAAAATGAAATCGAATTTTATAATCATGTCAATCAAGTGCAAAAATTCGTGATAAAAAAAATAATCACAACTTTTCTTTTGTTTTTTCAAAACCTTAATTTTTTCTTCTTCGTTCCAGTTTCAATTCAGTAATTTTTTCTTGTTCTATCATAATTGTCATTTTCAATATATCTTAAACTTTATACATAATTGATTATGTAAATTCAAACAAAAAATGATATATCACAAAATTAAAAAAAAAAAGGATAAAATTAGTTTAATTAAAGATGCAATGATAGATTAAAAAAATCATCTTTTTATATAATTACACTTTAACCCATTTCTGAGAAAGAAAATAGGGAACAAGAATAAAAAAATAAATGGACGAAAGCCTTGGACCTGTACCCAATAAAAACTAAATGTCAAAACTCAATACAATCCTCATAGTCCAAACTAAGTGGAACCCAACAACTTTGGGCTCATTTCCGTCAAACTAAAAACCGAAAAGCAAGCCAATCATCTAAAGAGTGAATTTTAAATTAGTCCCTTCAGTTATTTTTAAAAGAAATCAAATAATCTATCTAGTTTCAATAACTAATTAAATAGTTTTTATATTTTTAAATTTAATCGTAACTTAATTTTTTTTATTTTTTAATAAATAAAAAATATGAAAAGATTGATGAAAAAATAAAAAAAATAGATTAAAATAATTTAAAAGATTAATTAAAATTTTTTTAAAAAAACTTTTTAATTCATTTTTCGAAGCTAAGGAGATTAATTTATAATTTACTCTCACCTAAAAGCTCCTAAGTATTGGAGTTTTAGCTTTTAGATGGATCAATTTTTATTTTATTTTTTATATTTTTTGGAATCATTGATCGATTGGATCGAAACATAGAAATAATAAATGTTAGGTATTTTATATAATTTGTGTGTATAAATATTTAAGTTAAAGATGACCTGAGTAGTTTTTTTTTTTTCCGAAAACTGTTTAATATGAACTCTATATGTTCATTTCTTTTTTTAATTTTGTAATTCCTATTAACAATATTTATTGATTATAATTGACAAAATCACTAGCACAGTGACATGTGAATTTTGTCGTTCAAGCTCAAAAGTAGAGTTCTATTCTTTTAAAAAGATACTCCAACTCGTAATCATATGGAATGCTGCATGAATTAAGTATGAAACAAAAATTCCATTGAAAAGTACTAGAAAACAGAATCATCGTATTTACGTAATGTTAGGTCCCTTTCTCTCTTTCCAAATACAAAGAACTAGTAACCTCATGGAATATCTTGGATCGTTCTTGAACATGACATGTGAATTTAACTCGGAAACAACATAAGATGATTATGTTCATGTTCATATTTATCGTGGTAACATAAAACTTGATTTTTTATATATATATTCAGTAGAATATTATTGCACTAGTTTTCACATGAATCAACAATATTTATTTTCATTTTTATCTTGCTCGTGATGACATCAAAGTTGATTGTAAAAAGGAAGCAATTGTGTTATGGAACAGAGGTGCATTTTGATAAAAGAAAATCATAGTTTATGTATGTGTGCTTTATCAAAAATGTTATTTTAGTTCTCTACTTTTAAGTTTTTCAAATTGAGCAGTTACCAAAAAAAATAGAAACATTTATTGCATAGATACCTTTCTTAGAAATCATTGGTTCAAAAAACGTTGGTGATCAAAAGAATACTATAAAAATAAATACAGTCTAGAAAAAAAAAGCATCAATTTGATTTCTTTTACTACCCAAAAGCCATCCGAAAGAACACAAAATGCATATCATTGTCATCCGAAAAGCCATCTAGTTAATTTCACGTTTTAACCAAAAATATTATTAAAAAACACATAAAAACTTATTACCAAAACTCTAAAGCACAAGAGAGTTTTACTCGTTATTATCACTATAGTGCTAGACTCAATTTCCCTGCTCCTTTCACTCGTTCATGCAACAATGTTTTCTTTAAATTCTTTAACATAAGTTGTGCTCCTCCTTTGCTTTTCTAATTGCATTGCTACCATTGCTCATTTTACTCTCTCTTCTCGCCTCATTAACCTTGTTCTTCTCTTCTTCTCTAGCCACACATTACCTTCTTTGTTTGATATTTTTGTTATTCTTGTGCTAATATTCCTTCTCATCTCATACCACTTATTGTACTTATCCCGCAACTTATAGCCTTTACCCAACTGCAAGTTACCCCTGTTCGACCATCCCAACCCTACTCGTAATTCTTGCAACACATAATTGTCAACTCCACACAATCTTGCAATCACCCCTACTACCAACCTTCACCTTATAGCAACTTGCAATCCCCCAAGTCAACTTGTCCATTCAAATCACTATAATGTCGGCGTCCACTCTACTTTACACCCTTTCACTCGATTTCAATTCACCTCATACCATACTTATAAAAAAAATCCCATACCAATATCGGTGGGGAATTGGTGATTCACAAGTATATAAAAACAACAACAAACGAGGGAGAGGAGGTCGGTTCTTAAAAAAAGTTGAAGAAAAAAATTAAAAAAAAAAGAAGAAGAAACAACAATCTAAAAAGAAACTAAAACTAAAAAAAAACACGAAGGAAGAAAAGGATTTACCTATTTAATTACAGTGGCAATACCTCTCACCATCATCCTCAATTCGAATTTCTCTAGGTAAACTAATCATCTCAATGTAATTTTTCTTTGTATTCGGGGTTTTGAAATTTAAAGATTTTTTATTTTCAATTGAAATTGAGTTTGAATGATTCAAAGAAAGGCTAATTAAAGGTATTTGGGTTGTCAACTTAGGGGATTAAATTAAACCCTAAATTTAGGTTGAAGTAGATTAGATTGAAACCTATGGTTTTTGAATTTTTTTAACAATAATAAAATTTAGGGTTTTTAAGAAATTGGGTTCTAAGAGGTTTGAATTGGCTTGATCTTAGGAGAAATCAAGGCAATTGAGGCTAATTGAAAAAAAAAATTGAAACCTAAGGTTTGGTCAATTTTGGGAAAATTTGAGTAAAAGATTGAATAGGGGTTTTTGATTCGATGAAGAATCAATAAAGAAAATGAGAGGTTGGAGGAGGATTAGAGGAGAGGGAGATAGTAAGAAAATGAGGGAAGGAAGGAGAGAAAGAGAGATTGAACCAAAGATGAATTCGTTTCTTTTGAAGAATTGGATAGAGAGAGGAACAAGAAGAAGTGAGAATGAGAAGAGAGAGAAATTAGGTGAGAGGAAGAAGGGAAAGAGAAAGAAAGAAGGTTCGATCTGAAAAAAAAAAAAATAGAGGTTTAGTTGGTGTTTATGGCCTTAGGTGCGGCTAAAAATGAAATGGCTATACTAACCCAACCTATGTGTGGCTGGATTGGGCTAATCTCGGCCAAGTTCAACTCCGAAAAAAAAAGGAAAAAGAAAAAAAAAGAATGTAGAAAAATCGGTTAGAAAGCATATAATTAACAATATTATATTCAAATTAATTAATCATTGGCATAATCTTAGACTCGTGATATATATAAATCATTTCAACTTTATCTCATTTATTACATGTAAATATGTTGAATATTGATTATTGTGCATCTATTTTCTATTTTAACTTTTACTATTTTTTTTTGTTTTGACTTCCAAATTTGTGTTTTCTTAAACAACGAGTAGTGTTCTTTGTGATA